CTGAGGCAGGGTTTCTCTGTGGCTTCGGAGGCTGTCCTGGAATTAGCTCTTGTAGATCAGTCTGGTCTCGAACTCACAGAGATCCGCCTACCTCCTACCTCTGCCTCCCGAGTGCTGGAATAAAGGTGTGCGCCACCACCGCCTGGCTTTTTTCAATAACTTAAAATAAATAAATAAATAAAAAAGCTGTCTTTAAGGCATCAGCAGGGACACAGAAAGTGTAAAAGTGGCTTTGTTACAAGGACTCTGCACAGAAGAAAACCTCCCCTCCCCTCCCTTCCTCTTCTCCCCTCCCCCTTCCTCCTTCTCCTTCCTCCCTTCCCTGCCAGCACCTGGGGATCTTGATCCAGGGTGTGTGAGGTGAGGGGGCAGGGCAGAGATGAGCAGAGACAGGCTACAGTAGAGGTCCAGGAGAGAAGTGAGAAGAGACTGAAAGAGCAATAGGAGAGCAGAGGCTGGAGAGGGAGGGAGGGACCCTCGGGGACCCCAGATGTAGGTGTCTCTTCATCATCAACTTCAGACAAATAGTCATCTTATGTCACGGAGCTTTGTCACACTCCTGGACTCACTGAAGCAATTCGGCATGCTTCCTGCTGTCTCCTAGTGTTTTCCATCACTGTCGTGTTCCTGAGCTGTTCAGTCCTCAGTAGGAAATGGTGCCTAAGGCCTTAAACCTGACTTGATCCCTCAAACCCCAACTTGTGTCAGGGTCCACAGGTCCACAGCTGCACCTGCTGTACCCACTTTCCAACACTTGCGCAGTTTCAGCTTCTTAAGTTTTTAAACCACTGAAGTTTAGCTTGCCTCTCCTGGGTCTATAATTATTCATTGGTGTTTCCCCAATTATTTTGCAAGCATATGTAGATTTACCCAAAGGAAACGGATACCTTTATTAGTTTCTCTAGTGAATCTAATGTAGTATGGCTATGTGTTAACATTTTCTACTGTCTTACAAGAATGTTCCATATATCAATGCTGTCATATTTTGCTAATTCTTTTGCTAGATTTATGCCTTTATTCTTATGTTATTTATCTAATGGTATATTAATACAGATTTGACAGAACCCTGCAATGCCTTTAAAGGGCTGTGAATTGTCTTTTAGATTTTGGTGGTCCTATTTTTTCACCTTATTTTTTATGTGTTGTTATTTAATGTTGTATTTACTTTTGTTGTTATTATTGTGTGTGGGGCACACATGCACCAAGCACACCTGCAGATGTCAGAGGACAGCTCCCCTTCCACCTTGTTTTTAGCAGGTTCTCTCTTGATTTTTGTTTCCTTGTTTTGAGACAAGCAAGATCTTTCTGTGTGTAGTCCTGCTAGCCTGGAACTCATGTAGACCAGGCTGGCCCCTAGCTCACAAGGATCTGCCTGCCTCTACCTGCCTCCACCGTGATGGGATGGGATTAAAGAAGTTCCACCTAACCATGCTCTCTTGGGTTTTTGCTTAGTTTTGCTTTTTTCCCAGCTGTGTTAATTATTCCAGGCCAGCTGACTCTTGAGCCTCCAGGCAGTTCTCTGGTCTCTTCCTCCCCCCTCAAAGGAGGGGGCTGATATTGCAGGTGCAAACCACTACAGCCAGGCTTTTGTGGATTTCAGGGACCCAGTTCAGGTCATCAGGCTTGTGTGGCAAGAGCTTTTGTCCGCTAAGTCATTTTACCTTGTGTTCAATGGGATGTTTTGTTATCATACAGAATAGTGGATTCTTCATGGTATCTTCATATATATGTTATTGTATGGTGTTCTCATTTGTTCCCTTTCCCCACAGCTGCTTCTTTCTTCCTCCTAGTCTGAGTCTGCTTTCTTGTTACAGGTACTCCACTGCACTCTGTATTTTCTCCTTCCTTTCAGCTCTCCTCCTCTCCTTTCATGATCTTTTATTCAGTTCTATGCCCTACTCAGACAGTGAGAGAGAGAGAGATAGAGAGAGAGAGAGAGAGAGAGAGAGAGAGAGAGAAATACATATATCACACACACGCACGCATATACAAATATATGTTTTTAAGTCCAATTTCCACATACAATAGAAAAGTTGTATTTGTGTGAGTTTTGCTTGTTTTGCTTAATATAGTAAATTGCAATTGTGTCTGTTTTCTATAACTATCATGATTTCATTCTTCTTTACAGTTGCATAATTACACTAGTTATGGACACATCTTTAGCCACTTATTTGTGACAGACTTCAGGCTAGTTCCATCTCCCAGCTCTTGTGAATAGTGTGGCATGCTGGACCAAACTTGCATCCCTGGAATGAAACCATTTAGTTGGGGTGTACAATCTTAGTGTGTTGCTTAATTTGATTTCCAAGGACGTTACTTAGAATACTCTCATCTGTCTTCAACTGGGAAATTGGTCTTTAGTTGTTTCAGTATCAGGATAATGCCAAGTTCATGGAATAAATTTCCAGTTTTCCTCCTATTTCATGATGCAGTTTGATGAGCATTGGTGGTAGCTCCTTTTTTTTTTTTTTTTTTTAAATGTTTGCTAGAATTTGAAAATGAACCTATCTGATCCTGGGCTTTTCTCTGCTCCCAGATTTCCCAGTTTTGTAAAAACGTAAGTTTATAAAATATAAATGGTGCAGTGACCCTGCACCACTCTGTATTTCACTGGTTACCCACTCC